GTGAAATAAATCACGGTTTTTTTTGACTCAAAGACTTTAACACAAGAAGTGCAAAAACAAACAAAAAAAAATGATATATATGAAAAGGTCATTTCAAGCAGAAGCAACAGGTAAATATGACAGACAACAGTAAACAAACATACACACACACACACGAAAGAGAAATAATCAATCCAAAAGTGAAGAAAAAAAAACGACAACAACAACAACGACCAATAAATGACCAACGATTCTATGGTTATTAATCGTTGTTGATGTATTTTTTTTTGGTTAATTCCCAATCTATTCACCATTAGAATCAATCAAAACAACAAAAACAAAACCCGGACAAATATTAGACGCTACATAGACATACACACACAGACACACACACACACACACAGACCGCAAATCGAAGATCAAATAAGCTTTGGCAGCTTAATAACAAAACATCACAATCTAACCACACAGCTATCATCATCATCATCATCATCGATGATTAGAGGATTAGAATATGATGGCCAAAAAAAAATCGTTGAGTAATATCATCGAGTGAGAAAGAAGGATGGAAAAAAAGCGGGATCATTTCTGATGATGATGATGATGATGATGACAAATTACATGGCTATAACGATGCTTCTTGTATGTAAAGATATCTTTCGGCTTTTTTTTCCTTCTTCCAATCATCATCATCATCATCTTTCAATGGAAAACAAAATCAACTTAGATAGATGACAGGTTGTTGTTACCGTATATATATACTGAACATACAACATTCCAATCATAATCATCAATTCAATCAAATCGATAATCAACAACAACAACAACAACAACAATGAAAAAAAAACGGAAGAAACGAAAGAATTCAATACAGAAACAATAACAATAGATAATATATAAGAAGCGGAATATGATTAATCATCATCATCATCATCATCATTAGATCATCAACATTTTCTTAAGATTTAAAAAAAAATGATAGTTATTCGAATCAATGAACCAGAAATTGTTGTTGTTGTTGTTGTTGTTGTCTGAATATTACCAATCGGAAGATATTTGTCCACATTTGAATGTTCAAGCACACTATTATGGCCCTATGGCCTACTACTACTACTACTAGGAAAAAATTTTTCAATGAAATCTAATTTTGTTGTTGCAAGAATGTATGTGGTGTGGACCCAATAAAAATGTCAGTTGACTTGTGTGAATGATTGCTGCTGCTGATGTTGTTGTTGTTTTTGTGTCACACACACACACACAAGAGATGATTGTGATTGGTGACATTTGAGACATGAATTTCGAGCCTGATTCCATGCAAATGTTACACATACATACACACAAGAGAGAGAGAGAGAGAGAGAGAGAAACAGCTGGATCTATTATGTGGACATTTCATATATAAAGCCGTTCAAATTGTTTCAAAGTGTGGTGTGGTTGGTGGGCATTGGTAATGAGATTTTTTCTTTTCAATTCGTCTCTCTCTCTCTCTCAACATTTGTTTTGTGAAGTAGAAAAAAAAGTAACAGACTAACTAAAATGAATGAGACCCAATACAAAAAAAATGGGGTGGGGAAAACGACAAATTTTCAAAATGAAAATAAAATAAAAAATGAAACGAAAGGGCAAAATATTTGGACAAGAACACAGAGAAAACTGGAGAGACAGGAGAAATGGATTGAATGAATGAAAATTTGGACTGTAAAATGTTGAAAATCATGGAATTGAATTAGTCAAAAACAAACAAGAGACAGAGAAAAAAGACCAACCAGAGAGAGAGCATTCTTTGCAAGTTAATATCGTCATACACAGGTATGGTTTGGTTATTCAAATAAATATAAATAAATCGAACGAAAAGCTTGAGGCAAGATTGGAACAACAACAACAACAACAACAACAATGGAACAATCACACAAAAAAAAAAAAAAATTTCTTTCTCCAAAAAGTCAATCTACACAGATGAATTTTGATGATAATCAAGATATGGAAAAACAAACCTATGAAGTTTCAAGTTCATTGTCAATGTGATTAAGTGAAAGATGAACCACAGAAAAAAAAAATGATAAGAACGAGACGAAGAAAAAAAAAAAAAATTTTTTCATTTCATTTTTCATTTCATTCCATTATTTGTCAATCAAATTTTATTTACCATTCAAACACACACACACACAGTTGAACAAACAGAGAGAAAAAAAAAAAACCTCAAAAGGATTTTTTCAATGTAAAAAAAAAATCGTGCAACTATACAAAGAATTCAAACATTTCTTTCAAACACATCATATTTTCATGTTCAAAAATCATCATCATCATCATCATTCATATATACAGTAATAATAATTGTTAACTGAAACGGTTAACTTAAAAAAAAAAATATATGGAAACCATGACAAAACGAATAAACGAAACATGATGATGATGAAAATGAAAATCTATTTTTATAAATATACATCGACACAGATAAAGGTAATAAATCAAAGGTCATATATTATATATCATTTATATATTTTATATATGAATAAATAAATGTTCAACTTGGCAAACGAAAAAAAGAGAAAAATCCAAACAAACAGATATTAAAAAAATTATTATTATGACCAATAATCGGAAAAAAAACACACACTGCCATCACGAATCGATTCATTCAACAGGTTTTGAATTTTTATTTTTTTTTTAGAAAATTTTTTTCACTGAAAAATCACATCATCGATCATCATCGATGTGTTGTAGGTGGATATATAATAATTAACCGGATAATAATTTGGATCATCATCATCATCATCATATTCTAGATGAAAAATTATCCATTATTCGCTTCTGATTATAAATCAAGTTTCAATGAAAGAAAAGTTTTGACCAAATGATTTAATCTCTATATATATATTGAGTGTGTGTGTGTGTATTTGGAAGTGTTGTTTGCACATCCACACACACAGACACAAACTGATGGAGGGTGATTAATCGAAAAATTAATTTCATCGTCACGTCTTGATATAAAATTCCATTCATCGATGATGATGATGATGATGATCTTGAAAAATAATGTTTTCTCATGTTCAAAACAAAACAAAAAACAGTTAATGAATGACGACGAAAGATTAACTGATGAAAGATTCGTTGAAATGATAAAAAAAAAATTGAATGAATATGATCAGGCTATTGTTGTTGTTGCTGCAGTTGTTGTTGTTGTTTTCAGCGATCCAACAACAACAACAACAACAACAAAAAACAAAAGAAATAAATAACACACATAAAGTTGAAAAATGAAAAAAGTTTTTAAACTTTTCCATCTTTCTTTCTCTCACCATTATTTTTCATTCTAAAAATATCCATCTTTTGCATTGCTATTGAACATCAAAACATGATAAAAGAATGAATGAATGAATGAATGGTGATCATAATCATCATCCATAAACAATATCGAAATCTGTTCATAAATACAATAACAAAGATGTGTTGTGATGTGATGTGATGTGAAACTAAATCAAAAATCGGAAACGGATTAAAAGAGGTGAAAAACTAAAAAAAAACACACAATTGAATAATTAATTGGCAAATATTTGCGATAAAATCAAAACAACATCAGCAACAACAACAAAAACTTGAATTTTGGTAATAAACACAATCGATGATGTTTGTGTGAGTTTTGCTGTTTTTCATCACAAAAATCAATAGAATATATTGAAAATAGAGGTCAACAATAGAGGTGAGAAAATAAAAAAAATAAAAATGTAAAATAAATGTGTGGATGGATTGAAACTTGAATCATCACCATCAACAACTGTTGAAAGTGTTGAAAGAAAACTGAATGATTTATCACACACACACACACACATATGTGTGTGACACCGAATGAACAATTCACAAACATCTTCAAACACGCAAAAAATGTATCAAACAAAAAAAAAAAAATATTTCCATTTTTTGTTGTTGTTGTTGTTGTTGTTGTCGACAAATATTGAAAATAAACAACAACAACAAAAAACAAAAAGATGAATTTTAATGATAAAATTCGTGTTTCTATATATATCAGCATTATATTCTTTATAATCATCATTGGATAACAACAAACCTGAATATTGTGCATGTGTATGTTTGTGTGTGTGTCATGGTAAACCAAAGATCAAAATCAACCATATCAAACTTGAACAACAACAACGAAAAATGAACGACAAACTCGTATTGAACATTTTTCAACCAAAAAAAAAAAATTCAAATAAAAAGAAAAAGAAAGGTAATTGGATCCGTGTGTGTGTGTGTGTGCACATAGTTCAATATTTAGCAACAACAACAACAACAACAACTAAACAACATCCGAATCAAAAAGATTCATCATCAACAACGATTAATTTTATCGAGCGCATATAATACACACGAAACAAAAAAAAAAAAAAAAAACCTACACAAACATTATCGAATATGAAAAAACAAAATCTTATGATGATCTGATCTATGTGTTTTTTTTCATGATAATAATAATAATAAACAATGGTAATCGAGATTGGATGAAGAAATTTTTTTTTTGCATAAAAATTTACATACAACACACGATACACACACACACACAGAGTACTTGCATGTATAAATATTCTGGAAAAATTAACGATAACAACAACAACAACAAGGGTCATCACCATTGAATGATGATCTACATATATAATCATCATCATCATCATCATCATCATCACAAACACACATACAAATCTTTAAATGAGAATCAAACAAAACAAAAAAATTTGTTGATGTTATCCTCGACACCAATTTGATTCGGATATTTTAGAATAATAAACCATAATGTACACACACACACACACAAGCTTGGCATATGTTAATTCCATAATTTCATCATCTTCTTCATTTTTCTGGTTAGAATCCTCACAAATCATTTTCATAAGATCAATACATGTGTGTGTGTGTGTAAAAAAACATATGTGTGCAAAAAAGAAAAAAAACGAGACAAAACAAACAGAAACGATTTGAAGAAATAAAAATATGGAAAAGATTTTTTAAAACTAAACTAAACTAACCATTTCCATGTGGTGATGATAATGATGTTTGATGTGATGAAGCGGCTGCAGCAGCCGCTGCAGCCGCCATAACTGCATGCATTGATTGTTGTTGTTGTTGTTGTTGTTGTTGTAGATGATGATTTGATATCGATGATGAATGGTGATTATTATTATGATGATGATTATGAAATGGATTCGTATTCGTATTATGTAGAATATGTTGATTATGTGATGATGATGATGATGATGATAATGGTGATAATGGTGATCTATAATCAGAATATGATGATGATCTTTGATGTATTGATGATAATAATAATGGATTATTATGATGTTGTTGTTGTTGTTGTTGATGATGATGATGATTACCACCAATATTTGTTGATTGTAAATCTGATAATATTGGTGATGATGGATAAATACCGCCAACAACAGTACCAATATTTGTTTGAATGGATGGATCAGGTAATGCCAAACATAATGATGATGATGATGATGATAAAATGAAATTAAAGCAAAGAAAATATATCACAATTGAAAAAATATGATGACGATGACGATGAAAATTAGTCATCAATGATGATGATGACAAGATGAAAATTTTTTTGAAATTATCATCATGATCATCATCATCATCATCAAACATATATGGCCACCAATCATTTTGGCCAATTTGTTTTTGGTTTTAATCATGGTTGAAAAACTTTTTTTCGATTATTTCACAAAAACACGAATCATTCACATCACCAGCAAAAAAAAAAAAACTTTAAAACTCAGAACAGGAACACAAATACACGCACAGAGAAACACTAATAATGAAACACATATATGAGTTGGGTGTGTGCGTTGATTCACATGTCACATGTCACACCCACACTTGAAGATTCATTTCATTCCAAAAATGATGATGATGACGATGATGATTATTCGTAAAACGATGAATGGATAAGGATCATTGAACAAAACGATATGGTTTTGTGTGTGTGTGTGTGTGTGTGATATAGTCGTATAGTCGTCGTATTTTTCAATTTAAATTCAAAACATATGTCATGTTGATTTGATGATTATTTTGTGATGATTGTCAAGATTGCTATTTCTTTTGCACACAACATTTGAATCTGGATGTTTTTATTTCATTTCATTTCAGTTCATTTTTCATCATTTTTAATGATAAAATGAACATTGAAATAAAACAAAACAAATGTCATGAATGTCATCAACACCATGACAGAATTGAACCGGAACGGAATTTTTCATTTTCTTTCAGAAAATGAAAAATTGATGAGTTTTTTTTGATTCTTTTTTTTCACTTTTGATTATTATTAGAATTCGAGAATAATAAATATATGGTAGTCATGGATAAAAGAATTGATTTTTTTTTCTCTTGAAAATGAAATCAAAGATGAAAAAAAAAGTTGAATTTATCAATCACCATAGAATCATCATTATCATTCGATTTTTTTTTTTCGAAATTCAAGCTCTAAATTATCATTGAAAAGAATACACCACACACACACACACCGGAAATTGGATGAAATTATGTATAAAAAAAAAGATTCCCGATCAATAATTTACCCGGGATCAAGTCAATTCAATAAACAGAACAAAACAAAACAAATACAAATATTTGTGTGCATGTGATTCGAACAACCACTGAACGTTGAATGTGAGAACAACTTTCAATCCCCAACAATTGCAAAGGAGAGAAAAAAAAAACTTTGAAGTTTGTATAAAGAGGATCCTCTCCAATGATGAACTTATTGAAGTAAGTGGTGGATATTTTTTTTTTTTTTTTTTGGAGAACAGACGAAATCAACTTGTGTGCTACTAGCCTTCTGCTTTTTTTTGTTGCTGCTGTTTGTTGAATGAATTTCTGGTTCTCATTTTTTTTTTTATTATTTGAAATTTATGAAGACCAATACGCTTGCGTTTGATTCTTGATAGTGAAAAAAATTTCATCTCTCTGTGTGTCCTTATCCGATGAACTTTGAACTATGCCACTATGTATTTATATATGCAATGTTTCAAAACACACACACACACACACTATTATCTCATATCTATTGACCACTACTACTATTTTTTTTCTATCAGTTCTATCAGTTCAGGAGATTATGTATAGCAACAATTGCATTGCAATAACATCGCCATCTATGTTCATCATCATGCAAATATTGATCATTGATGACCGGTCAAATCAAATTGAATAATTTTTTATGCCAATGATGATCATCTTGATGATCAACAAACATATATCATCCATATATATGAACAGAAACAAAAATAAATAAAGTTTATATATGGCTATAAAAAAAGGGTTTGTTTAGTTTGTTCATCATTATTTTTTTGAATCAATATGTCCTTGTTCCTCATGATATTTCCTAACAATTTCAATTGCTATATTATCTGGTAGATAATACCGCCTTCTATTACCCGTATATTTAACATAACACCCATTAAACAATACACACCCCTGAGGTATAGCCGGAATATTAGCATGAATCTCAGAAATCTCCTGAAGAGTTAACAAATTTACCTCAAAGTCAGGATTTCTGGATAAGAAATCTGCTTCTACATTTCACTCCTGGAACATATTCAATTTTGAAATTATATTGACTAAGCCTTAAAAGCCCAATTCAAGATTCTCGTGTTGGGTTTTGAGATAGATTTGATATACTTCAATGGCTTATGATCAGTTCAGAATGGTGAATTCTTTTCCATACGAATAGTGATGCCAGTAAGCAATTGACTCAACAATTGCCAAGCATTCCTTTTCTGTCGCAGTATAATTAACTTGGTAAGGTAATAATTTTCAAGGGAGAAATATCCCACTGTAACCATATCTTGATCATCATCTAATTCAGTATCTTTTTGTTTAAGGACAGCTCCGATATTTCAACATTAGAAGCATCTGTAATTAGAATTACAGCTTTTGATGGATCAAAGATGTGTAATACAAGATCAGATGATAAAACTTCAATTACTTTATTAAATGCTGTTTCAGCTAATGCTGTCCATTTGAAGGCCTGATCTTTCTTCAACAATTGATATAATGGTGTTAACAATTCCGTTTTATTTGGAATGAATCGTTGATAGAACCCAATTTTACCAAGAAACCTTCTAAGAGATTTAAGATCTTTAGGTGGAGGAAAATCGACAATTGCTTGTTTATTACTTTTAAGAGGTCTTATTGTATTGAACGATATTTGATGTCCTAAATAACAAACTTCTGGTAAACTAAATTTACATTTAGAAAATTTTAAAATGATATTATTATCCTTTAGGACTGCAAATAACCTTTTTAAATGTTCCATATGTTGATTATAATTTTCTGAAAACACGATTATATCACATCTTGATGATCAACAAACATATATCATCCATATATATATGAACAGAAACAAAAATAGATAAATAAAGTTTATATATGGCTATAAAAAGGGTTTTGTTTAGTTTGTTCATCATTATTTTTTGAATTCTTTTTTCTTTCTTTTTTTTTATTTTGTCCATTCATTACAGCTGTGATGTGTGTGTGTGTGTGTGTTTTCATTTCGAAAACGAAACAAAACAAACAAAAATTATGGCCAATGGAATGATAATAAAAAATGGATTAACGTTTTTGTTGTTGTTGTTGTTGTCTCGAATGGTCCAATCCATCGATGTTGGTGGCCAATGGGTCATTTATAGGCATCCGTATATTCACAGCAGATGAAATTTTATTTGGAAAAAAAGAAGATAAAGAAAAATCATCATTTACATGAAATGTTACACACACACACGTTAATATCAACAAACAAACAAATGGATACCGATAGTGATGGTGTAGGTGGTGAAATAAAAAACAGCAACAACAACAACAACAAAAATCCCCCAAAAAAACATCATTGGAATTTCTATCATCATCATCATCATCATCATCGATGAATATAAACATTGTTGGCCATTTTGTTTTTTGTGATGAAAAAGATGAATTGATGATGATGATGATGATGGTTAGGCTTGGTGGATTTAATTCATTTTGATTTGTGCATGGGGAAAAAAATGGCCAATCCCGTTGCGATTGAATCATCACCATCATCATCACTATGTATGTAAGTAAATCAAGAACCAAATCCGAATATTCCAATTCTTAATTTGCGTTTTTTTGTTTGTTTGTTTGTTTGATGTTTGTTTCTCTCAACACCTCCTACTACTAGTCACTCTCATATTCTCGAAATTCGACCAGGCCCATCATCATCATTATTGGTTTCAAGAATCTGAAGAGTGTTGAATATTTTTCGTTTTCTCTAAATTCTCTGTTGGTGATTGTTTTTGTGCACTTCGACCTATACACAACATAAACACACTATATATATATGGCCTGGTGTGTTTGATTGTGTTTATCTTGTGCAAACACACTTTTGGTTCAGTCGAATAACGTTGATGATGATGTTTTCAAGTGTTTGGCATCGATCAAAATAAAGAGAAAAAAAATCCAAAAAAAAAAGAAACAAAACGAAAATCCGGATACAACAAATCCATTAATATACATTCATATAAATTCTTGTATTGAATTGAATCCAATTGAATTTTTCTAAGAATCAAATAATAATGATGACGAAAATTTTTTAAGTTTTTAAGCAATGCAATTAAACATCAACAATTCATATATATTGAACTGACAGTTTTTTTTCTTCTTCCAATTGCTTCCACCACGAATAAATGAATGAATATAATGCACATGATGATACATAAACATATAATAAATCTACAGGGATTCTATTATAATATAATAACAAATGTTTAAATGGATAAATTCGCCATAAATCTGATATATCCAAGAATATTCCACTTAAAAAATACTGTTTTGTTGTTGTTGTTGTTGTTGTTGAACCATTCATCAATGAAAAAAAAACAGTAATAATTCACATGAATTTTCGTTCTCTCCCGCTTTCAACACACACACACACACACACACACACACACACACATCAACAAGACCAGAAAAGGAAAAAAAACCCAAAACCAGACCATACATTTATTGTGAAATTAATTGATTTTTGTTGTTGTTGTTGTTGTTGTTGTTGCACATCATCATCATTGCTTATATTGATTATCATTATTTCCATACTATTTTTAGATTCTTTTTCATCAACTTTGTGCGATTTTTGTTGTTGTTGTTGTTGTTGTACTCTAAGTGATCCATAATGATTAAATTGTTGTTTAATAAACAATTGTAAAAATTTGATGGTCATAAATAATAATAATGATAGTGGAAGATACACTTTGACCGTTAAGTGGTTAAACAGGTATCTTTTTTTGATTAATGAATTTTTTTTTTTGAAGATTTAGAGAATTTTTGTTTTGTTTTTTTTTTTGAATTTTGAAAAAACCAGATTGTTGTTGTTGTTGTTGTTGTTGTTATTCTCTACATTTTTCACCATGTCCATTCATTATTATAATCCATCTAGCTAATCTTTTCATTGATGATGATGATGATGATGATCGTTGCTGTCAGATTTTTTGGCTAAAAAAAGTTGTTGTTGTTGTTGTTACACCTTTATCATCCATCGATCGGTCAAAATCGGTTGTTGTTGTTGTTGTCTATCGATGGACAACAACAACAACAACAACAACAATGTTGATCGAAATCTCATTTGTTATGGGCAAGCAAAATATGTACCAACAACAATGATGGAACAAGACCATGAAAAAATAGAGATTATTCTACCACTCATCTTTAGTTGATGTCAAAAAAAAAATTTTAACACTTTTCAATCGATTTTGATTGATTGATTGATTCAAACACAATTTGAAAGAGCAAAAATTCATTTCCATATATTGAATTGGAATGAATGAATAGTGTATAACTGATACATTCCTTATTCCTTATTTTTTTTTTTTTTTTTTGACAGCCATTCAAATATCAATGTGATTGATTATCAATCAATCGAGCGCACGATTGATTGAAATTTTTTATATTCAATTCGAAAAACAAAAGAAAAAAAAATAACGATAACCCCTTCTTATCCTTGATCTGTTTTCAAAAAAAAAAAATTTGAACAAAATCAATGAAAAATTGATCATATTGAATGGACTGACTAGATAAATTGTTTCAATCCTGAATGAATCCTGTTGTTCATCATCATCATCATCATCATCATTTCCGTTTAGCTTCCGAACACATCAAAAAAAAAATCATCAGCTATTTGATTGATGTAAAATCTTCAAAATCATCATCATCATCATCATCATCATCATCAAACAGCAATAATAATGATAATAATGACAACCAACCGAGCCACTAAAACAACAACAACAACAACAACAATAAATTCAATCAATGAAAGAACAAAAAAAAAGGTCAATCAAAATGAATAATATACACAATGAGGAAAAAATGAAATGAAATAAAATTGACACACTTTTCATCATCATCATTATCATCACAACTACATGTTGAATGAATGAATGAATGATAATAAAACAGAAGTCTATTTGACTGTTGATTTTTTTTGATGAAAAAGACGACGAAATTGAGAAAAAAAAATTTTATATTTGTTGAAGAAGCTTGTACAAATCAAATGAACATCGACATCGACAAAAGCCATAGCCACCACCAACACACAAAACAAAAAACAAAAAAAAAATCTGTGATGGAAAATCAGTAATGATGATTATGAAATAATAACAGGCGATAAGCACAAGAGCACCCTACGCAATTTATATGAATGGGAATTATTTTTTTCCGTTGTTGTTGTTGTTGGCCGATTCTAAAACATCATTATCATCTTGAAAATTGTTGTTGTTGGTTGTGATCTAAATTAAATTCTTTTTTTTTTTTTTCTGTTTCATGATTGTCCAGCACAACAACATCATCATCATCATCATGGAAATTCCACAAAAGAAAAAAAAAACACACACACACACGCGTAGGTGCTACAATTGACAAGTATACGAATTTTTTTTTTTTTTTTTTTGACCAACCAACTAATACCTGTCTAGTTTTTTTTTCATATAAAAAACCAAGGTTAATTTGATTTGATTCGATTTTCATTCTGATTTACACATCATCATCATCATCATTATTATCATCTGTGTGTGTGTGTGTGTGGAAGTAACAAACAAAACGAAGTAAAAAAAAAAAATTGAACCAGATCAAGATTGAATTGATTCTATTCAGTACTACATTAACATGTACATGATTGGATGTTTTCAATAATGGTCTAGTATCATTCATTCAATTCCCGTTATTATAATTATTGACCGGTTTTTTTTTCTCTGTTCAGTATAATATATATGGCGGCTAAATGCTAAATTGATGATGATAATGATGATGATGATGATGATGATGTTTAAAAATAATGAATGATGAGCCAAACCAATGGCCATCACCATCATCATCACCATCTACACCTACTATCTACTATCTACTATGGCAAAAAAAATGTCTATTTTAACCAAAAACAAATCCCATTGTTTTTCCATTCTATTGTGTAAAATAGCAAAAAAAAAAAAAGATTATGTTCATCATTCACAAAAAGCATTGAATATTCGCTTCTTGTTTTTTTTTCGTTTTGTTTTGTTTTGAATGGAAATTTTGTTTTTCTAGTTCAAAATAAAATGAAATAAAAAAAAAAAAAGAAAATCTTGATGAGACAAAATAGTTTTTGCTTCAATCAATCTATTACATCAATTCATTTGATTTTGAAGGTTTTCTCTTCTCTTTTTTTTTTTGTTTTGTTTTAATTATGGCTTGATCATCAAAAAGATGTCTATTATGATGATGATGATGATGATGATTACTTGAATCTTGAATTGATTGTTTTTTTTCACTTCTACTGCTGTTAAACTTGTTGCTCATATTCAATCTGGTTGAGCAATGAATGAATGAATAGAAAAAACACCAAGATCAATGGTTGGATAACCATCAGATGAATTAGAAATTTTTAAATCATCATCATCATCACCATTACATCATATCAACTTTTGATCTTTTTTTTTTAGTTGGAAAGAGAATGGAATAAGATTTGAATCATCATCATTCGATTAATTTATGATGGCCATCAGAACACAAAAAGAAAAGAGAAACAAATCCGTTACATTTAACTCTTTCTTTCTCCCTATCTTTTTTGTATTATTCACCTAGGCCATAAACACCAATGGATTCATTCATTTTTCTCTCTTTCACATATACGGATAATCGTCGTCGTCGTCGTTTTTTTGTTGAAAATTTGAATTTTTTTCCTTTCCCCATGTAGAACAAACCATCTGGTCGACAAAAGAAAAAAAAATCAGTGAAGCAAAAGATTTACGTAAATTTTTTCTATATTTTATGCTTGGCCATAATAATCATCCAATATTTATAATCGTTTGATAATTGTAATTTTTTTTCTGTTTTGTTTATGGCAACCATTTTATTGTATAGTCCCCATTCAAATTGAAAAAATCTTTTCAGAAATTCAATTCAATTGAATTGTTTTGAATCACATGATGTTTTTGTTGTTGTTGTTGTTGTTGTTGTCCTTGTTTTTTTTTCTTCACCAGATCTACCAAAGGTTTTTTCGTTTGTTTGTTTGTTTGTTTCATTTACATCATACAAATTTTCTTTGTTCAGCAAAAAAAAAAAAAAAAAAAAAATTTTATGATCATCAACAACAACCATCATTTCATCGTCGAACCCTTTTTTTTCATGGTGGTTTTTGGTCTGTGTGTGTGTGCTTATGAGCAAAATTCGTTATTTTTAGATCACATCATAACAGTTGTTGTTTTTTTTTGTTGGTCATAATTTGAAAAAAAACGTTTTTTTTCTGGGTTGTGTAAATGAATGAATTTGTTGATGGAAGAGAAAAACCACAAAAAAAAATATGAATTTTTTTTGTTCTGTTTTGTTTTTTACCAAACAGAAAAAAATTTCATATTTTCAGACATAATTTAATATATAATATATACGGCTGTGTATTTCTCATTTGAATTTTTGTTTCACTTTTTTTTTTTTTTTTCCTATGAAACATGGATCGATAATGTCATAATTCAAAATCAAAAAAAAAAAAATGTTGTTGTTCTGTTTTTTTTTTTGTTTGCAAACAATTTTTTCGATACATGAACATGGAAACAAAAATTTGTTTGTTTGTAACAAAACTCAAATGATTAATTCATCACAATGTGATCAATGTGCGATTATGGAATGTTAATATTTATGTTTTTTTTTTTTTTGCTCATAAACACGAAGGTAATAAATGTGTTGATGATGATCATACACAGGTAATAAGTGTTGAATCAAATGGAAAAATGAATTAAATTGAATTGAATTGAACCGATTTCAGTTGATGATGATTGTGTAATCGTTTTTTTTTTTGTTGTTGTTGTTGTTGAACATCGATAATGATAATGATGATCATCTTGCCTTTATTATCTAACATGTATGTGTGTGTGTGTGTGCGTTTGATTTATCGAACCCAATCAATCATTATATCACTAATCGTATATATATAAAATTGAGCATCATCATTATCATTATAATACTGTAGGATGATCATGTGTGTGTGTGTTGATCATTCAGATATCATGTATGATAAAATGGTCAAGTTTTTGTTCATAAAAGAAGAAAAAATCCAAAGGAAATGATGATCCATTTTTGTTTCAATCTTTTTTGTTTTTTTTTATTGCCAATGGCAATAATGTTCGATCATCAATCGATTTATCGATCTAGTGTGTGTGTGTGTGTGTGTGGCAATTTAAAAGTAAATCTCGATGAAAAAAAAATACATACATATCGACGTGAAAATGGCATTTTTTTCATAAATGTTTGCGTTGATTAATTTCTGTTTATTCATCTAATTTGTTCAGAAATTTTTTTTTTCGTTTGCAATGTCCGAAAAATTTCAAAGATTCAACGGACGAAAAAAAAAAAAAGAGAAAAGAAAAACATAATCAAAAAAAAAAAAAAAAGATTTTAATTAACTTAATATGGACACACAGCGCTGACCATTCATCTACACACACACAAAACCATTCATAAATGGATTAATCATTAATCTATGATCGTGTATATGAGTATGTGTGTGTGTGTGTGTGTTTAATATAGTGATGTTTATCATTGATGGTCAACATAATTTTTTTTTCATATAAATATAATGGACATGATCAAAAAAAAAGGCAATGTAAAAAAAAATGAAAAATTACATCCGCTATCAAACAAACAAAAAAAAAAAAACTAAATAAATCCGTTCTTTTCAAATGAATTAAATTGAACACACACACACACACACACACACATGTACAAACACATTGATTTAGACATATGGACAAAACGCGTAGCTTTTTTTGATTATAATTTATCACATCAGAAAATATTACAGAAAATATTATTTAGGCGTCAACATTTTTTCAGGTTCTAAATCAAATAAATAAATAAATAAATAGTTATCGATCCCATATTAATGGCCAATAATAATGACGATGATGATGATGATGAGATAGGATGGCCACATTTGGATTTTTTGTTTTTTTTGCTTTTTTTTTTTAATTGAGAATAAACTCAATGAAAGATTGAAAATCGGTTAGCAATAATAAAGGAAAAGAAAGACAAAAAATTCATTCATGAAAAGTATTCACATATATTTTTTTTTCTTGTAATAACCAGGAGAATAATCATAATCGTCAATTCATAACTGGTCATCATGGACAAATCAAATCAAATCAAACTTCACGAATTTTTTTTTCTCCCGAATGAATAAATACTATGATGATTTGATGAAGCAAACAAACAAACAAACAAACAAAAAAAGGAAAAGAAAAAGATCATTTAGAAGAAATGAAGTCTGCCTGTCTGTCTTCTTTTTCTGTACACACACAAACATGCAGAATGAACCCAAATAGATTGATGATTATGATATAAAGATAACGGCAACAACAAGTTGAACAGGATAAAAAAATATCAATAATAAATTCAACCAAAAAAAAAAGAAAAAAAAATTTTTTTTTCTTCTTCTTGTTCACATTATTATTTCGAATGATCATCATTAATTAAACTTTGTGTGGTCACAATTCACAGCAATTTTTTTTTTTTTTTTTTTTTTGTTTGACCAACAACATTTATTAATTCTATAAAAATCTGATTTATCAAAATCAAATACAAATGATGATGATTGCTAGACATCTAAATTGTTATATAATAGTCATGTGTGTGTGTGTGTGTGTGTATATGCGTTTGTAATGCATCCATAGTTTTAATGAAGTGATTATTCATCGGGTTTTTTGCTATTTCTTTTTCTTCGACGATTATAATCAATCTATATTTATTAGATATGAATGGATTTTTTTTTACATTGATTATCACGCCATCTACCGTTCTGGATTCAAATTGATGAATGATTTTAAAAAATCAAATTTTTTAATTTCATCTGACATTTCACGTGTGTTGAGCATAAATTCACGTGATTATTTCATTTCATCATTTGAATGAATAATAATAATTAATAGTGATGATGATCATCATTGTCATTTTTATTTGATTGTGCTTGTAATTGATTGATTTATTGATTGATTGATTGAGAGAGAATAAGCTACAAATTGGATTTATAGATGGATGGAAATGTTCACATTCATTTTCATGTGATTTAAAAGAATTAAAACGAAAAAAAAAAAAAAAAACACAAACACTGTTTTTCTTTGCATTGAAAATGAGATAAATTTTTTTTTTTACAAAATAATCAATCGAAATCAAAAATTAATAATTCATGAACAATAATTGTTGTGTAATTTAAGTAGTAGTAGTAAAATAAAATAAAATAAAAAATAAAAATAGATACATTTTTTCTTTGACCCCTAAAAAATAATATAAGAATCTGTCTGTCTGTCTGTGTGTGTGGTAAAATTCTATAGAAAATAAGAATCGTGCATGAAAATTGTATACAAATAATTATTCTGTGTTTATGATACATACACATAATGTATGTATGTATAATATAGATTGTTGGTGATGTAGTGTAATAATAACGTCATCATATAAATAGTGGTATTTTTTCTCTCTTTTCTCTTATAAAAATTCTTTCATAATTCATAAGAAGAATATTAATTCATCATCAAGAATATGGTACAATAGAAGAAATGATTTGTGTGTATGTGTGCAGTCAATAGGAATCATATTTCTTTTTTTTTTTTGGAGATAAAGTCTGAGTTTGATTTTTCATCAATCAAATGAATCCATTTTCCATTGGTGAAAAAGTTTATAAATTATGTGTGTGTGTGTGTGTGTTATAATGAAGTGTATTGTTTTTTGTTGTTGAAATAACGAAATATTGCAGCTTTTTTTCAATCAGAATTTTTTTTACCCCATGAATGATGAATATATTAAATATGGCCAACTTGATTTTGTAGGTTTTTTTGTGTGTATGTGTGTGTGTGTGTGTGTTATGACAATTATCAAAGTTTTGAAAGCATTTGGACTTTTTTTTTATTAGGATAATTGTGTGTTTTCAAATGACTGGCCATTGTGGTGGTGGATGTGCATTTGGCCTTAAAATTCTATCAATAGCTGGATTATGAGGCCTTGGACCAGGTTCCGGTGTATATGTGAATGTTAATCCGGTTGCATAGATCACACCATCATCACGTACTAATGACACTTGTACCTGTGTTGGTTGTCGTACATATTGCCATCCTTCACGAAATTGTGAAATATCTGGTACTACACAAAGCATACTTTCCGCACAACTAAAAAAAAAATAAATAAACCAAAAGTAAAAAAAATTGAATAAAATAATCATCATTCAGATCACTTACCGATACATGGTTTCAGCTTCAACATCACCAAACCAAACTTTCAATGATGGACTTAGATTTTCACCACTTAATTCAAGCATTGCTACATCACCACCACCATTTACATTGAGACTATGTACAATTGGTACAGGCGTAACTGTACGATGTATTGTACCCATTCCTTCATAGAATGTATATTCAGCTTTATCAGTCGATATGATTGTCCATGATGCACCATCATTGATCATTTCTTTATTCGAATCTTTTGGACATGGTGTTGCCTGAAATTGTATAATACGTTCCTGTGAAAGGCATAAATACATTCTTTCTGTATCTTTTAGATAAAATGCACATTTATGCAATTGTGATACTGGATCATCAGCATCTAACATTGCCGTTTGTTTATCCACTTTACGTATTATCTATAAACAACAACAACAAAAAAAAAAAAATCAAAGCAAAAAAAAATTATAATCAGATCATCATCATAATCATAATCATCATCATCATGAATTGAAAATCTAGTTATTTCCAAACAAAAAAAGTGATTGTAAGTAGAAAACTAAAAACAAAACAAAATGTTATTCAACAACATGTAATAACAATTATAACCGGCTATTATATTATCATCATCATCATCATGACAATAATAATCGCATGATGATGATGATGATGGTAACCTTTCGTGTTGATCTCCATGTTTTTTTTTTGTTCTTTCATTGTTTCTAGTCATATACATAATAAATAATTCCGTTCATTGTATCATCATCATCATCATCATCAAACAACAACGAACAAAAAAAACAGGAGCCATTGGTCATATAACGTATTATTTTTCTTTTCTTTTCTTCTTCTTCAACATGATTCAAAAAAAAGATACATGTGAAAAAAATAAAAAAAATTTAAAATCGAATTGTTCTAGTGTGTGAAAATGTCGCCAAAAATTCCCATATCATCATCATCATCATCAACTAGATGAATCTTGTAGATCTAGTCTTTTTCTTTCTTTATCTATTTTAGTCAAGTTGAATAGATTGTCTTCAAAGCGAAACAAAAAAAAATTATTTGAATCATTTCATTTTGAAAAAAAATACGAAAGAATTGTATTCCATTCCATTCATTTCATTCAAAAAACCAATTTGGTTTGAATCTTTGCAATTTTAGGTATGGTCAAGACAACACACAAGCACTTTTTTTCGGGGAGCCAATCTTTAATTTCATCCATAAACCGGGAGCGACCTTTATTCTCATTTTTTACTCTCTATCTAACTCACTTTTTTCACTATGATTATCATTATCATCGTCAAGCATTGCTAAGATTACACCCTGAAACCCTATATAAGTAGCAAAATAGAGAGAGAAAGAAAGAAAGAGATAAAGATCCACCATACATTTTATTGTTTCTTGTCACTTATAATGATCATCATCATCATCATCATCAACAACAACAACAGCACAATAATAATAATCTAACTATAATTATTGTGATGCTTCTGGAATTAATTTCATTCCTCATTTTTTTTTCACTGTAAAGTTATTGCATAGACACTTGAAAAAAAATTGCTCTCTTTTCATACGTCATCATCTGATGATTGACTACTTGAAAATTATCATCATCATTATCATTTGTATCATTTGTTATTATCACAACAACATTCAATATAGGGCTACTTTTAATTGGCCCAAATATCACATTTCAATTGTAAAATCAAAAAAAAAGAACAAAAAAAAAATTTAAAACTTTAAACACACACACACACACACACTTGACTACTATCATCATCATCATCATCATTGTGGATATTATAATGATAATCAAGTTGAATTTTTTTTTTTTTATTTCATTCAAGAAAACAAAAATATAAAAGTAGGAGGAGTAAAGGAGTAAGTAAGAAACAAAAAAAAAAAATACACATACCAAACGAGGCAATGCCATTCCGGTTACTGAACATACTAATTTCACTGTAGCACCATAATGAATATAACCATCACGTACAGTAAATTCTTCTGATTCTTCTTCATTATCATCGACTAAATTTTTTCAAGAATAATAAATTAATTTATTATCAATTGATAAACATATTGAAAAATGTCCTTACCAAGATGAATAGTAAAATAGCCCCATTGTGTTGAACTAGCATGAAAATGGCCATTTTCTACATGTAAATATCTTGTACTGACCGTTTGTGATCGTAAACGATTAAATAATGCTACTTTTGTTCCGCTAGCGATACAGACTAGAATAAGGAAAAAAAATCAATGAAATTTTTACATCAATAATGATAAAACACATACGATCGGAATTTTTCAATGACTGTTTCTTTTTCGATGGTTTCGAGATCACTTTAATACGACGTGAATGAAACAATCCAATATCTTCACCATTTCCATAGAACATTTTCACTGATAACATAAAATGTTTACGTTTATCCGAATCAGAAATGTATAATGTTTTTGCCGCACAAAAGCTCTGTATGAACATGATTAGTTTAACAAAAAATAAAGAAAATTCAACATAAAAACCAAATCCAAATACCTTTCCATTGAAATCTAATGGTTGCATATCTTGATCAGAATTTCCAATACCAATATAAGCACAAAGACTGGCTTCTTGTTCAGTACGACCTTCACGTATCATCTGTTCTTGACGTTTACGCCAACCATCACCTTCCAGATAGATACAAGGCGGTGGACAAAAGAATCGTTTCTCATTACCATAAGATTTTTGTGCAACTTTTGCATGTAAAATGATAATTTTCAGATCATTTTTTTCACGAATATAACGACGCATTGCTTCACGTGTTAAGGAATGATTACCAGTAACGGCCATCAAAGTTCCAGATGAATTAAGGTCCGATGCATTCGAAGAACATGTTGATGAACCACCAGCGGACCGTGGATTTATCAATGAAGTACGTGGATGATGTGGTGATGATGTTTGATGGGGATGACCACCACCACCACCACCACCACTACTACTACCACCAAGATGATTAGAACGTCCCAAATAATCCAGGGAAGAAATATTTCCATCATTTGGTGGTGAAGGTGTAGGTATCGGTGACATCATATTATTACTTGATGTTTGTTGTTGTTGATGATACGATGAATTCAATGAATTCTGATTATTATTATTATTATTATTTGCACCAATCTGAGAATAATAACTATGAGGCGAATCACGTGATTTAGAATCTGTGGATTGAAAACAAAACCAAAAAATTGTTAGTGAATTTGAAAATGAATGAATAGAAATAGAAAAAAAAACACAAATTTAATAGAAAAAAATTGCTAACAAAATGAGAATGAATCTAAACCATAATAGTAGGAAGATCGCGCAGCAGATGAAGCAAAACAATTAAAATAATGTCGAAGTAATTGCTGTTTATTAGGCGGTAAATGACGACATTCAGTCGATTGAAATAGATAATCGAAAAAAATCGATGATGTATTCGATAAACAACGATGATGATGATGATGATAATGATGGTGGTGGTGGTGTTGTTGTTGTTGTTGTTGATGATTCAATGACATTGGTGAACCAATAGTCGATAGAAATGAATTGGAACAATCATCATCATCATCATCAACAGCATCAGCATCAATAATGTCCACCGAATTTGATTGTTGTTCAATAGATGTATCCATCGTTTTTTTTTCTTAGTTGATTTGATCAAAAAAAAATATTCGTTAATAATCCAAAATAAAAGAATCCTTCAACGTACAACAACGAAATGGACAAATTTTCAACCAATTAAACAATCATCGATGAATGTTGGTTGAATCGGATGAATCAAGAGGGAAAAAAACGAACAAACGAACGAACAAACACATTCGGTAGCCTTATTGGCTATGAGAATTTTTCTCACGTAACATTTGTGTGTGTGTGTGTGTGATTGGCGGATGACCGATCAGAGAATCCCAGTATATTATATATATAGAAATAAAAGCAATAATCGATATATATGGATGATGATAGAAGAAAACAATAAAGATACCTCTCTATTTCTCTCTCTCTCTCTCAGAAAAGATTCGACGCAGCAAACGGAAAACAAAATTCTACTGTAAAGCTGTACGTGTGTGTGTGTGTGTAAAAAGGCGATTGATTGGTAATGAAGGGGAAAAAGAAAAATTCATAAAATATCGAACATAAGAAACATTTTGACATTTTTCATAAAGAAATTCTCATCATCATCATTTCGAAACATCGATCAGAATAAGAACAAAAAAATGAATTTCATAATATTCATATTAATAATTGTACACACACTGGTTGGAAACAAAACAATTTTTTGGTAATTATGAAATTCAAAATGGATCGAACCTTTGAGGGAATCCTGAATATTCTTTATTCACACAGTTAGTCAGTCAATATACATTAACAATATACAAACTGACTGTTGTCGTTGTTGTTGTTGTTACATTGTCATGGAATGGATTGCCATTAATACCACACCACCACCATCGACCACCACCACCAGTACCACCATTTTTTTTGAACCAAAAAAAAACAGACAAGATAATCTTTAGCCCCCCATCACACAACCACCAAATATATGAATAAATATTCGAGAACGATGAATACTTGAACATAAACTAATTCATACAAAACAGGTGTCAAAAATCTCACGCCTGGCCCACCAAATATATATAAAAAAACAACAACTGAACCCTCATCATCATCATCATCAACATCATCACTTATTTAGTCAAAACAAAATGAACCCATCCTCATCATCTATTGTATTTCACATTCACATAGTCCAGAATTCAATATATCTCTATATAGAATGCACGCCTACTTTATAATAATAAACATCCAACACATATACAATTACATTCTGTTCCATCATTTTCAATTCAACTATAATATTTGGATCATACTCAAAGCAAAAAAAAAAAAAATCGAAGCTATATATTTATATACATGCAATTCTCAATCGATCACAATGGTGTTGTGTGTGTATGGAGAATATACAAATTCACTCACGCATAGATTGGAAAAAAAATATTTTGAAATGGGTGAAATATTCAATTTCGAAAGCAAATCTCATTCCAAATGATGATGATGATGATGATAATTCGACCAACAATTGAATTTTCAAATCAAAAAAAAAAAAACAAACAAATAGACAGAGTAAAAATGATGAAAATGAAAAAAAAAACTGACAAAAACACCTGAATGCACACACACACACACACACATATTCCTGAAAATCGCATATCAATGTCATTAGAAATGAAATTTTAAAGAATTTCTTTTTTTTTGTTTGACATATTCTGATTGAATTTAAAATTTTTCTTCTTTGGAAATATTCGAGACAATCGTATTATTATCGTTTGTCATCAAATCATCATCATCATCATCATCATTGTCAGTGGATATAAACAATTATAAGATTCTGGACAAAACCAAAAACATATGGTTATTTTTTTATTTGGTTTGGTTTGAAAACACACACACACACACACACCACCACTGTACCTCAAACACTTGAATTATGATGGTCATCACTAATGGACATCACATATGCATGCATGTGTGTGTGTGTGTGTGACAGTCACGATTTTGATTTTTTTTCCTATTCTAAATTAATGGTGGACACACACACAAAAAAAACATGTGTGGAATGTCCATTTTTGTATGTCATCATCATCATCATGTAAGACAGAAAAAAACTATCCAAAATCATAAAAAAATTGGAACAAATAAAATACACTTGAAAATATAATCAATCGATGTTTTTTTTTTTTTTTTTTGTTATCAATGTTTTTCTTTTCATTGTTTCATATATTGTGAATTATACATCCATTATAATACAATTTCAATATCAACAAAACAATTTAAATCAATCTTTGACTCTCTCTATCTACACACACACACACACACATATTGATAATATTGACGGTTAGTTTTATCATCAATTTGTCAATATGTCAATATCGATCAAAATCAATTTTATATCTTCAATAAGTAATTATGATTTTTCTTTTTTTTCCTTTTAAATTTACAATGATAACATAAAAAACAAGGTTGTTGTTGTTGTTGTTGTTGTTGTCGACAAATTTGAAGAAAAATCAATCAAATCGATAATTTACGCTTTAGATCAAAAGATATGATGATGACGATGATCAATCTTATTATACTACCACCATCACCATCATCACCACCAATAACTATTACAAATCGATGATGATCTAATCAAGAACTATTAATTGATATTGTCATCGTCATAATCATTTGATGTTAATTTTGTTGTTATCGGGTACAAATTGATTGATTGAGATTTCTTTTTTTTTCATTATTATTAATTATCGATCAATTAGAAAAAAATATGTTTCAAAATTTTTTTTCGTTCATACACCAATGTTTTTTGTTACATTGATTACAAAATGATGATCACATGCAAATGTAAAGGACATCATCAGTAGAAAAATTTAAGGAATGTCAATCATCAGTAAATTGTCAAGAACCACCAACCACCACCACCAATGGGGTAATATTATTATCGATCAATCATAAAAAAATCAATCAAAGATCGATTCAGAATTGAATTTCAATAATGGTGAGGTATAAAAAAGGTCAAAAAAAAAAAAAATTTTTATTAATAACCATGGTGATTTCTTTTTCCTTTCTCTCTCCCCTTCTCTCGCTCATAGACAAATATAACATGAATTAATTTTTTTTATACAATCAATCAGTACACCACACAAATATGACGAACAACATTTGAATGGTGGTGATTAGTAGTGAAACGAATCGACAATATATTTCCACCATTGGTGGTTGATTATGACTATGACGGTGATGATGATGAGGATGATGATGATGTTGTTGTTGTTGGTCAATGAAAATGTCATTAAACATCGATATTCTCATTATTATTATATCAAACACTTGCCAATTGTAATTGTAATGTAATTAGATTCAGTTTTCGTTTTTTTTCTGGATTTTTGTTCTTTTGAACAAAAAAAAAATTCAACCATTGTTGTATGATTAGACAATTCGTATTGATGATAATGATGGTGGTGGTGGTGGTGGTGTTTGGTGAACAGATGCAGATTTCTCGTTATAATAACAATTTTCCAAACACACACACACACACACAGTCAGACAATCAAACCAACAAAAGAGAATGGCGAATAAAAAAAAACGGTGATTGATTCAACAACAACAAAAAAAAAAAAACAAGCATACGGTTATAGTGGACCAAACAGAAAACAATAACAACAACAACAACAACAACAACAAACAGTGGGTTATTTTGAAAGTTTTTTTTTCTTTTCTTTTGGACCATTGTTTGTTACAGCCTACAGGCTAATGTATATAATTGAGTTCAAGTCTATTTGATTTTAATAATAAAAGGCTAGAATGGTTGAAATGAAAACATATATGTACTATAGTAACGCGTGTGTGTATGATTAGATTCGTTAAAACAACAACAACATCATCAACAACAACAACAACAACAAACAATTGACAATAGGTCACCACACACACACACACACACACATCTCTGACACGTGCACGACACGATCGATATAACCAAAAGCCGTCAATTACAAATCTATTATGGTTTCAACACCATTCTATCATTGAATGAATGAATGAATGAATGAATAAATGAATCAATATTGTTCATATGTTGGCCACTCGAAACGGAAATGGCTAATTACTAATGATGATAATAATAAAATTCATAAGGTAAACCAAATGAAAAACAGGATTCAAATTTCCGGCTATCAAAATAAAATTGACAGGTTCTAAATTTTTTTGTCTTTTTCTGTCAGTACTAAAAAAATTTTCAATAAAGTCGATCCAAAACAAATCATTTTTCATTGCACACTTGAATGAACATTTCAATCAAGCTCGTCAGGTGCAATACACACACACACACATTTTATTCATCCATCAAGAGGCCATATCATCATCATCATCATCATCATCATCAATCCAGATTTATAAAGGCTGAAATTAAACAAAAAAATTTTCAATAACAACAAAAGCGACAAAAAAAACATCATCCTCATCTGTACACTTGAAAATCCACGGAACCTAATCCATATGCAAACACTACACACACACACATACACAAGAAAAATGTTGATGTTGTTGTTGTTGTTCATTCATTCAGACCAAATGTTCAGAATTTATATATATTTCAATTAAAAAAAAAAAAAAAATCTCTCATTTT